CGTTGCATACAGTAGATAGACGGAATAATTAGACTAATACGCAAAGGTTGAGTAAAGTATTGCATTTGTATGATAGAACAAAATATCCGACGTTGCTATTACTTTTTATCGTATTCGAGTACATGCGTCAAAATAAGCCGATTCATCGATAGATTTCATTGCCTCTCGTATAGCGAGACTTATTAAGATCTTTGGTGGTTTAATTTTGAAAATATTGTATAACAAATTGATGATGAACATATTAAAAATATATATGTTGAATATACGCAACGAATTATATACAGAGTGAAGTATAAAAGTTTCGTCCACTTTTGATGCCGACTGTACTAAAATATTTCTATTCCTGAGCACGTTACGTTACGTTATATATAAAAAAATCTGGACTAAGAATATTTTTATTATTCTTTAATCCTTTATATTGTTAGTAATATTTTCATACAATATAAAGCTCCAGTTACAATAACATAATCAGGATTGGTCCCACAGGTTCTGATAAACAACATTCATTTGTTTTTGAATTGTGTTAATAATAAAATTTCGTTGAAATTTGTTCAGCTATTTGTAGTGATGGAAACAATAGACTTTAATTACATTTTTATTAGAGTAACATTTAAGTTCTTCAGGTTAAATGTAAGAACATACGAATTAGGGGAGAAACGGATTGTTAGTAATGGAGTCTAATAAGCCCATTGCTAGCTATACACTCTATCAGGTCGACTAGTAATCATTGTTGCATTATCATCCATTAAAAAAAATATACGAATTACATCTTCTTATATAAAGGACCAAATATGAAAAAAAAAATATAGATTTTATTATAGGTAGAATCTTTTTTACCCAGAACTTAACCGTTTGGTTTGTATGGAAAGATGAAATGTAATTTCATATTTCGACATAAATATGTCCCTTAGCGAAAGTTGATCAGTTTCATAAATACTATCGTAGCCTTGTTATATCCGTTTTCTTTGAACGCAATATGCAAGTCTAACGTGTTTAAAAAAATAATTTATTGAACTTTAATATACCTAGATAGATGGCAAAAGTAAATTGATACAAATTTATTTCGTTCTTCTTAAAGAATCTTAGTTAACCTTAGTTCAGAAAAAACTTTTCACGCCTTGATCATTGTATGATAATGTGTTTGTCTTTTTCGTAAAAGCTAAAAGAAAGACGTATTTAAAATTATATTCCAGGATATTTCATGGAAAAAGACCTCTCTAAAATGCATATATGTACGCTAAGACATGTCTTTTCGCATAGTTAAAAGCTCTGTTCGCATCCTGGGTGTGGGCACGGACTTTAGTCCGTAGGGCTTTTTAGCCCTAAATACAAAATTTTCATCAGTTATCGACGAAGAGAATATGGTAATGGTAAATTATATGGATAGAGTGTCGCCATACAAATGCTTCGAGAAAAACGGGTCAACTTTTTCATACAATTTTGCATAATAAATAGTTATGTTTCCTTTATAACTTCTATATTTATTTTGTTTTATAATTTTTGCATCTTTTTAATGTGTAAAAACTAATTTTATTTTTAAATATAGAAAAATTTAAATACGTTAAGATATATTATGTGCGTAAGTATATAGAACACTGATAAAAAAATGAGTCAGCTCATTTGACAATTAGCTGACAAAAAGTTGACCCGTTTTTGAGGCTCAAAGCTCTAGCTATATAATCTAAGATGGTAACTTATATATTTTGCACTTGAAGCTTAATTACATTGACTCAACGACTTAAGAGATTTACTTTCTCGTATGTTGGTTTGTTTCTTATGCAAAAGTGAGTAATAATATGCTATGTCGCTGAGAGAAAATGCAAATAAGTATGTACTTTTGTTTATTGCGTAATACACAAATACAATTCTAAGGTTAGGTTTGCATAATTGCATTTTAAATAGTAGTCATCTCATTTTAAATATTCTTTGTTAATGATAAGTTATTATATAAACTCGTTTAAGATTAGGTACCTCATACTAGTATAAATATTTACTGTATTGAATTTTACTAAAGTTTAGGACGCATGGCTGTCCTTTATAAGATGTAAGATGAGCATCCACTATCCTTAGAGAAGGAATTTGTAGTCCAACGATATGGTATAATCCTACTACTATGTTATTATGCGAATTCTTTCCAATTGGAACACCAGAATACGTAGATCTCGGTCTGTGTTCTGGGATGTATTATATTTTTAAGCGACTTCCAGATGTGAGTTTTCAATTCGACTGTTTTTTTTTGCGATTATGTTATATTACTTTCTTTTTTAAAATCGATTGGGCTTATTCCGTCAGAAGCTATAAATTCTGCTCCCATGTTGGACTTAATTTAATTTTATGTCGATTAAAGTTGCTGATTTTCTTTGCGGAGCAAAGATGTACGAGTACAATAAATACATTTTTGCTATTTGTACTATTTACAATGTAGTATTTACGATACATCTCGATGTGTTTAGGCTTTGATGATTGTTTAGATTGAATTAGTTTTTTTTTTGAGAAGTAATATGTAATGTAATTGTAAGAGATAGTCGTTTACAAAATCTCATGCTTCTAGACTCACCAGTATAGATTGTTTTGTCACTGTGTTAGATTTTTATAAAAGTGAAATGCATTCATTATAATTACATACAAAAGTAGAGTACGTTCGATAGGTTTCTTTTTATTAATAAGTAGCTAACGAACAATGTATTCCGTGACGACGATTACATACAGACGGACTGGACCGCATTGTTTCCGCATCACTGGTTATGCCGTAACATCGTACCATATGCCCGAATTATACGCCTACCTGAAATTCGCAATAATGCGTTGTTGCATCGAATTTTTACATTTTAGGTCAGCGATTAAAAATGGGTGTTGTATATAATGCTATAGTTTTTTGCGCTTAATTAATTTGAATCTAATCTCAAAGTATATTATATTGTTTATTATTTATTTATTTCATATTACCAAAATAGGTAACTAAAATTCATATGTATTCTTATATTAATAATTATAAATCTTTATATTTCTTTATAAAAATCTTTATAAAAAAAAATCTTTAGGTAGTTGTGTTTATGTATTATTGCAAAATGTTTGTTATAATAATATATTTTTTTTAATTTTATTATGATAAATAGATTTTTAGCCGTATGGTCTCGGTATAAAATGGACCACCCATTCCTTTCTTCATACTCGAGGCAGCAGCATCCTTCATAAAACATCAAAGCTTAATTGTGGTTGTCAAACTGCCTGCCAGGGGGGAAAGAAATTGTAGTAGTAATGAGGTCTAATAGCCCCATTACTAGCAATATACCATTTTAGGTCGACCTCCACGCGGTTCCCCCTGGAAACCATCATGGTTAATTTTTGTCGAATTCATCATGGTGAGTCAACTGACCTGCATTCATTCTCATCTATCATCTTCCACTGGCGCCTTGCCAGTGTCTACCGATAGTGCGGGCGGGGTTACCATTCCATTATCACTCATTAAAAAAAACCTGCCTGCTAACTACTGGGAAAACCCCCTTATGGGGGTGCTGTCCACTGTTGAGTTTCAACAGTGGACAGTTAACGGCTTATGTTAAATAAAAAAAAACAGATTCTATTAAGGTGTTATATTAAGATTATAGAGGTAAAATACAGTGTTCGTTGTGTCTCGCCATAAGGCATACAATAATACAGACAACTTAACAGCGAAATAATAAAATCAGTTAATTCACAAGTTAAACAAAGGCTTTGTTTAGTGTTATATAGTGGATAATTCAAAATTTTCAAATTATATTTGTTTAATTTACCTTTATGTAAATTGTAAGTAAGTTGTTTATTTCACACCTTAGGTATGACGTTTATTCATCTTAGGTCAAGAACTCATGTTTATTGTTAATTTGACTAGAGTTATGATTTCCTGATTCAAGTGTAAAAACAAGAATAATGGCAGTTTTGTTTGTTACAAATTTAATATGGGACTAACACGTCGATGGGAATTATTTAAATCGATTCAGAAATGGCGATGTTTTTGTGTACCATAGAACCACATTAAGAAACAATCAAATTGACAATTTCATCCTTCTGAAGTCACTTAAAAATCAACAAAGAGCACGTTAGCATAACAGATAAATTTTTTTGGACAATATCTCTCCGGTAACAGTTGTCGGCGAATGTCATAAATTGCTTCATAGTGCCTCTCAATATTGATATACTGCGGTGCCAATATTTAGCAACAGTTAGTAGGCAGGTATATTTAGTTGCCAAATATTAGCATCGCACTAATTTGCTTAATGTAGACGTTACGCCATAATTAATAAATATTGTCCCGAATTGCGTCATTAAGTTGATCGTCTATTCACATCTTTAGGTACCAGGGCTAGACCTCAGGATCGCCAAACCTATATAATTTATTAGAGCTAAGATCATGTATTTCTGTTGAAATATTATTAAAACATATTAAAAAGCCAAACGTAGTTGAGCATTTTTTTGGTATTTTATTGCCTGTTTTATGCCTTAATGCATTCAACTTAGCTGATTTCCATTCGTTCTTCCTTATTTCTCCCTCCTTTTTATACACGCCTATAGAAAATATTTTAGCTTCAATAAAATTATTTTATTTTTAATGGGTGAAAATGGGATGGTAACCCCGCTTGCACTATCTGTATACGCTGGCTCCCGTCAGCAGTGAGAGATGATAGATGAGGATGAATGTTGGTCAGTTGGCCCATCGTGACGAATTAAACAAAAATTAACCATTGTTTCCAGGGGGTACCGCATGAAGGTTACTCTGATAGGGTATATTGCAGTAAAATGATCTTGGTCTGGCGGCTGTGTAATCTTGGTTTAATAATATCAATAAGGGCCATATTCTTGGTCACATCCATTTGGTCTTCAAGCTACGATATGCTGTGTTACATCGAGCCAGGCAATAACTATCAGGGGACACGATTCAGAACACCCAAACCCGAGTCAATTCGGAAAAGGGATAACTGATAATGAAATATACCCATATTAAGATAAAGTTTATTTTTCAGTAACGGCGGGGGTGCGCACGCGCAATGTCGGCGACCAAGTTCTCGCATCCGTTTATGCGCGGCTTGAAGCCGCTACCGGAGGGGCATGAAGAGGACATACAGCAGATTAGAGAGTGGTAAGTAAATATTATTATATTTTATTTCGTAATATGTGCATTTTATGTTTCAATTCGGTATATCAGTATAAGAGGCTAAGAATTTTGTTGTTTCAAAAATTTTTTATCTGGAATCTATAGATAAAAGAAACACTAGGTATTATGTCGTATAGGGAGGTCAAAGATATGGCCTGGGATAGAACTGGCTGAAGATGCATGAATTAGTTGCACCGACAAGAGGAAACTCTTAAATGAAAAGAAGAATATTTTTTACAGCATGTATAGATGACTTATAGCTAACGACGTTGATTTCAACCTAAACACATTAATAGATATGAGTATAAATATAAATATTATATATAAACATCAATAATATACATTTATAATAAAATGGTTATTAGAGAACGGTGGACTGTGATGAGGTGATAAATGTAGACACAGATTTTAGCCGAGAAATGTATAAAACAGCGATCAAACAAGAAATAATACCCGTTGTCAAAAGATATAAAGTAAAAAATTATAAATTAAAACAATTTAAACGTAAATCTGTATAAAAAAGTATGTAGTAAAATGTAAGGATTTTGCATCGGCCGGTCGCCAACAATTGTGCAGTACTATTTAACATTTAATTCTCGGGACTTCGTACATAAAGTTTCTTTAAACTTTTAAATTAAAATTTTAGTTATGAGTTTAAGTTTTGATGCTTCAGAATCGACCCTAATATTTTTGGCATATCGTAAAATTATTCTTTCTTTCTAATTTATCATTAGACTAATTTTAATCTGTCTTAATAGTTAAATAATGGTCAAGTAAGAGACCTTAACAACTCTATTATCTTATGTATGTATGTATGTATGTATGTATGTATGTATGTATGTATATATATATATATATATATATATATATATATATATATATATATATATATATATATATATATATATATATATATATATATATAATAAAATACCGTGGGTGATAGGAATATTCTGTGTCATCCATTGTACTTCCCAATAAATGCGTTGTTACTTTACGAATCTGTAAGTTTATAAGTATTAATCAATCAATCTTATTTTATTGCTTGGATTTATGTAATATGCATTAACACTGCACTATTATTAAATAAACATTACATACATACAAAATTTGCAAGATAATTATCCTTTTATTATTAATAGCACTTCAGTTGGTACTATTTAAGTTTTTTTTTCCAGGAGTCTTCACTGTAGTAGAACCTACTTGAGACTTTTTTTGCAGTATCCTGTGTACATAAAATATATTACGTCTATCAGTTCGGGTGATTGCGAGCGCTAAGATAAAATTTAAACTTAGTATTTAAATAAAAAATAGGTTAATTGAAGGACGTTGATTTAGTTGAATTGTATCTCAAACTTAGATCACAAATAGAGAATTCATATATCATAGATTAAAAATAAAAGATGAGGTGCGTTAACGATATTCAATAGTGTCACAGAACAAGTAATCAATACGTTGAATGTTTGATGGATAGTATCCATTATCTAAGGTTTATTTTAGAATTTATTATTTTAAGAGAAATCTCGCTTTCTAAATGCCGTTACTTGTAGCTATTCGTGACCTATTACTGCAGGCGGCGTATTTTTGATGTCATTATTTTTCTACATCATCTTTTGTTGGGGTTTTTCGGGCTCCAGGTTTCTTTAATAAATTTTGATCAAATTAATCCAGTAATTTTACCGTAAAAGTAAATAATGTAAATTATAAAGCTCAATATTCCGTTAATAATGTGGTTTAGTATGTATTACTAATTAGACTGAGATCTTTACATGTGTTATGAAACAATGAAATGCAATAATAAAGGAACCAGTCCGACAGCTAGTTTATCCGAACATGCAATGTATATGAGCATTTTAATAGTGAAATGGTACAGTCAGCATCAATAATATGAGTATAAATAATTTGTTGCCTTCGGTGGAATAGCGGTGTAACACAGTGCTTTACTTTCCTATAATTGTGTGTTCGCTTCTCGTGAGGATTGTAACAAAATTGCAAATATTAAGGTCACAAAATTTATCGAACAATACAATGTATTTCTGTATATCTGCGACATAAGTGTACAAAGTTGTTTACTTTGCTGTTATGAATGAATGACAACAGAGCTGCATAAAAAAGGTTTTATGCAACTCTGTTGTCATTTTTAAGGAATAAAATTTTATATAGTTTTTTGTTATGACTCCGAATTTTGTAACTTCAATGCTACATCTATCAAAACATATTTGTACAAGTACAGTTTGGCAAAAGAAATACGGTTTTACAAATCCGAACAAGTTCACCGATTTTCGTTGTTAACTGTACTTATATGTAGATATTATTTCGTTTGACTGCAACTGCAACTGAAGCGTGAAACTTGTAATTCGGACAACTGCTATTACAGCTGGTGTAAACCTGTTATGTTATATAGGATTTAGGTTGCATATCATTATATGGACGTATAAATATTGGGTTAATTGTTATGTATATAGTAGTAGATACTTTTTTATATTGCCTATTCTATGCCGTGTGGTCCCGGCATAGAATAGGCCGCCGCTTCCTTTCCCGTGGGTGCTGTAACATGCAACTAAGGGAAGGCGAGGGATGGGCAGCATCGTCCCTCTTAAAACATTTCCAAATCCTAACTACGGTTGCCTGTCAAGCGTGGCAACTACTGGCAAAACCTTAGAAGGGGGAGGCTTATGTTTAACAGTGGACAGTTAAAGGCTGATGTGATGATGATGACTCTTCTATGTAAGTACTTGGGGTTATTTAAAAATTTATCTGTTTTTGGCAAAGTGTTTGTATGATGCCACTCTATCTATATATAATTTAAACCTATTTGTTACATTATTTTAAAGCATATTTTAACATGCTATTTGAACAGTTATGATTACTGGATGATTATGATGAGAAAGCGGAGTAATTGCCGCGGTTAGCAATATTGCGGGACACTAGTTCTCTTTAGATTATATATAGCCGGATATGATTCAGAAGTGGTCAGCTTTTTCTGTACCTAACAGCATTTCTTGGTATTACATAACTACGAACTCAAGTTGTGAAGTATGAGAAAAAAAAATGTTTTAATTTTATATGAAAAGTCGGTCAAGTTGAACAGCTGTAAATATGTGTAATACCCGTTATTGTGTTCCAAAAGAAAGAGGTTCTAAATTCAAAAATTCAGAATTTTTACACAATGATGACGCGAATTAAAAAAAAGGTTTCTTTTTATATAACTTAGAATGGCAAACAAGCTGACGGCCCACCTGATGGAAAGTAGTAATCATCATCTATAGATATGAGCAGTACCATGGACATAACAGTATACTGTTTCACCCATGATACCCCCCATACGTTGCTATTCCTAGACTCAAGTATTATTCCTCTGTACCCTGTAAATTTACGCCATATTCTACCCTTCAAATCGAAGCACGGTCATGCAAACACAACTGCTTCACGGTTAAAACACGAATGAGACAGAAGTACCCAAGCAAACATCTTTTATACAAAGTCTCCCTCTGGTATGGTGTGTTGTTTTCGAAGAAACATTTACTGAAATTAATATAGTTAGATATTTGCACAAATTAAATAATAATAATTACTGCAATTTGAACGAATGGTTAAACGGCCGGATTCAGAGGTTTATTATAATATGAAATATTACAATATATAATTTTCGCAACAAATATTCGCAAAAAAGAATTCAATGTACGAAAGAGCCGTATGCATAATGAATAGATTCCTTAGTACGAGTGTTTACTTCGACCCTGTTGCAAGAGTCATGGTCACGTCTCGACATAACTAATAAATAATCATGGTAAGAAGCCATTAATTATGTATATTAAAACAAAACTATTATTTATGTATACGAGGTTTGTCCGGAAAGTACGTATAAAAGTTTTTTAAAAATTTTATTTTACAATTATTCAGGTAAATCAATTTTATCCCCTTCAAAGTACTCCCCCTGTGACATAATGCACTTGTGCCAACGCCGTTTCCACTGTGAGAAGGCTCCTTGAAAGTCCTCTGGTTGTAGGTTTCTCAGCTGCCCCGTCGTAGCTTTTTTTATCTCATTTATGTCCCCCAAATGCCGCCCCCGAAGTACCAATTTGGTTTTTGGGAACAAGAAGAAGTCACACGGGGCCAAATCCGGCGAATAGGGGGGGTGTTCGGTCACCGTAATGGAATTTTTACTCAAAAACTCACGGACAACAAGAGAGGTGTGGGCAGGGGCATTGTCGTGGTGAAGAATCCAACGCCCCTCTCGCGCCAATTCTGGACGAACTCGTGCCACACGAGCTTTGAGGCGTCTGAGCACATCGACGTAGAATTTTCCATCAACTGTCTGGCCTGGAGGGACGAATTCTTGATGCTTTCTCGGCCCTCTCTGAATCTTTTTAGCCACTTGTGGACGGTTGGTTCCTTCACAGCATCATCCCCATAAACTGTTCTGAGATCGGCAAAAATTTCACGGCCATTCTTGCCGAGTTTCGAGAGAAACTTGATTACGACGCGCTGCTCTTCAACGGAAGCGGGCTCCATGCCGACGGGGTTTCGTTAAGAGGTAACTTCACAGATGGCGTGACAAGCCAGTTCGCACCGCACGGCGGTCAGACCAGAACTGAAGCATTGTTAGGGACATAAGGAAGGGGTCCTGCGCTTACCTGGCCTCCCCACTCCTCTTTCTCGCATTCCAGAACACTTTTATACGAACTTTCCGGACAGACCTCGTACAAAGGCGAAAATCTAAAAGGTTTTCTAATAATACGGAATGTTCGACACTTATAATTTTACTTGTTGTAACCCGTGACTTTGTTTGCGTCATCATATATACGAGTATAAATCATTTAAAGGAACAATTTTAAAGATTTACTAGTTGCTTTTAACATTTTTAGGTCCAATTTGATACACTCTAAATCTGCTGTGCGGTGTGCCTGTTTAACACCATATTTTTTATTTTTGGGTTTCATAGTTGTATGTAACGTAACGGCAGTTAATCACCATTACCTCCTAAAAGACATTTATAAAACAGTTGTAGACACTTTAGACTAACTTAGGCACCTATATCCTTACTTATGTTATATGGACAAATAATGTTGATATTATAATTTGAAAATTTATATTATAGCTAATAAATTTCTTTTTGATTAACATCTTATTTTAAATAAATTCATAATTAGGATGTTTTCTGTGACACTTGAAAATTTGTTAGTTAAGAGTTATTAGTTAAGGCGGTTAAATATTGATAGACCTTTCTTCTCCAGCTTTAAAGTGAATTCTATTCTATTCTAAAGTTACCTATTTTGTAAAGATTTAGTGTTAACAGAATAGCTGAGTATGGGCGGTATACAGCGTTAAGAAATTTAGATAGGGCAAGATGCAACTATTTGACGGCTGGGCATGGTGGGACAGTCTTTATTTTTATATTATTCGTATATTTATTTTATAACAAGCGACCCTCCGCGGCTTAGCTTGGGTACACATTACATCACATCATACATTAGAAACCTTTAAAATTATCAGTGTTTTTCTACTATATTATGCATGTATTATACATATAAAACTTCCTCTTGAATCACTGTATCTAATAAAAAAAAAACCGCATCAAAATCCGTTGCGTTGTTTTGTAGATCTAAGCTTACATAGGGACAGACAGACGGGAAGCGACTTTGTTTTATACTATGTAGTGATGATAGGGTAGGCACAGTAGTTCACAGAAAATGGTTGAAATTATAATGATGGTATGTTTGATTCATATGTACTTACTTAAAATAAATCTCAGATACAATATTTTTGTTAATCTTTAGTTATAATAATGATTTATCTTTACGCCAGGTTCTTTGCGAGTTATGTAGACATAATTAGGGATATACTAGAGGGAGATCTTGTACAAAAATTGTTGTAATGGGTACATCTAAATTGCAACGCATGAAGGGTATTGACATAGTATGTCCATGGTTCCTATTTATATGGGACGGTTACCACTTTCCATTAGGCGGGTCGTTAGTTAGTTTGTTATTCTAGGTTGTATAAAAAAACTAACAACTAAAATTTTTATTTAAGATTGCTTAGCAATAAAGCTGTATTTTCTCATTAATATTTATTTATTATTTTCTAAATAATGCAATAAAGTGTAAATAAATAAATAAATTACAGATTTAAAAAATGTAAATAAAATTTTTATATTAAGGATAAAAAATAGGGTTTGGAAGATAAACAAAAGGAGCGTACTTATTATAAAAGAAACATGATAAATACGTAATTATAAGTAGACTGATTGTATCTAATGACGGTCTAACTCATCTGGCTGATGATACTCGGCAATTATTTACAAGGCAACTCCTGAATTGATCGTAGGTATATTCCGATTTACGATTTACGAATCGTGAATTAATTCCACAAATTTGCGATTAAAATTATATTAGTATTCTTTAAATTGTAAAGATGGGATAAATTTATTTATTTTATATATTTTACCAGAGGGAGACTTTGTACAAAAGTCGATTGCTTGGACCTCTGTCCCATTCGTGTTTCAACCGTGAAGCAGTTGTGTTTGCATAGCTGTGTTTCGGTTTAAAGGGTGGGATATGGCGTGAATTTACTGGGTACAGAGGAATAACACCCGAATCCTCAAGAATGGCAACGCATGGGGGTATCATGGGTGAAACAGTATACTCTGTTATGTCCATGGTACTGCTCATGTCTGTAGGCAACGGTTACCACTTTCCATCAGGTGGGCCGTCAGCTTGTTTGCCATTCTAAGTTGTATAAAAAAAAGAAAAAAATATTTTATTTGCAGACTATTTTTTTAAATTATTGACCATATATATGCCAAAGAAGCGGACGACGTTACTACGCTTTTTTTATTTATTTCTTTATTTTTTATTTATTTCGAATTAGGTACACCAACAGTGTACATACATTAAACATACATTAAATAACATTTTTTGTGTAGCATGCTGATATGCATACCTATAGCAGGTGTACACAACATGGATTACAGATTACACGCATATAAATGTCATAATATAATTAATTAATTATTTATTAAACTGGAATAGTTACACCTCTTTTGTCATTGTTTTCTGATGTAGGGTACAACAACAAGAACATTACGCGTTGCTATTCCTGAGGATTGTTATGCCTCCAGTAATTTCCATGCTACATTTTATCCTATAAATGGAAACGCAGCTATGAAAATAGCTGTTTTACAGCAGAAACCCAAGTAGGGCAGAGGTGGGCATGTAGACAAAGTTGTGTCTAAACTCCAAGTCCAGACTAAACTCCAGTCCAATGAGATCTTCAGTCGGGTTAGTAAACCAGTGGGCCACAACATTCGCAGTTAGCCAATTATCGGATCGGAACGGCTCGTCAGTGGAGAGCTAATTCATTAAAACTGTATATTCGAATGTTCGACTATTTTTATTATTTTCATTTTATAATACAATATACAGTTTATTTACTGTTTCTTTATTGATTTTTAATGAATTTGATTTTTTAATCTCATTTAAATCGATAAAGGATGATTTTTTTACATACCTACCTTAACGCAAAGAATCGTGAGTGTTAGACACTAATATTGTAATAATAATGTTTTAAATTAATGTATACTATATATATATATATATATATATATATATATATATATATATATATATATACTTAATGCTCTGTGAAAAGGAAAAGATAGTAAACCTTCGGCAGAAATTGTTAACTTATTATTATCATGCCTAACTTTTAACTATAAATTAAAATCTAAATTAAAACAAACTGTAAATGCACTACCATGTATCAAAGTCCTTTACATAACTGACCAAACACAAGATTGCAAGCACAACTATTTCATGGCAGAAGTACTAGTGTAATAGAGCATATAGCAGGCGACTTTTGTGCAAATTTCCCCTCTGGTATAGCCATCTTAATAAATGAAGACAATTGTAATTCCAGGATGAAAAGTCAGCCGCACCTGCCCTACATTCCGGATGAATATGTGATATTGTTTCTCCACTCCAACTACTATAAAGTGAAGGAGACGAAGTACACGATCGAAAGTTACTTCACCATACGAGCGAATACACCGGACATCTTCTCCAACCGGGACCCATTGGCACCCAAAAACAAGACTATTATGGATATCACGTAAGTTACAATTTCTATAAAGGTTATTTTTTAAAGTTATTGTTGATATACAAAAAAAGGAGATATACATTCTCAGATTCTTGAAGTCAAAAGCGAATAGTGGTCTTTAGGGTAGACGCGTTTCATTTTAGGTCTTGCCATCATTTTCCATCATTTGAGTCATCCAGCCCAATTAATCAACTAATTCAATAAAACGAACAGTTAAAGTATTAAACAGTATAATACTAAACTTACTGTCTAGAAGTAACGAACAAGTAAGTAAGTCCGGGTATTTATTATTAAAACTAAATTATTGATAGACAAAGAATAATTATTAGTGGATATTATTCTTTGAAGTGTTATAATATTAATAATTTATTTATTTGCTAGAAATGTGGTAGAATGTGAAATGTGGTTTGCTAGAAGTGTGGTATGGTGGTGTGAAGTGTGGTAATAATGGTCTTAAATATTATTGATCTACACATTTCGCCTTATCTAAAGGCATGCAAATTTAGTATTATAATTTAGTGGCTTACGTATATTAATAGCCTAATAGGATTCAATCCATAAATATTGGCAGCAGTGTTGACGGTTTTTTGTTTATACAACTTCGATCTGCGAACAATGACCATTCTGATGGAAAGTCGTGGTGTTATACTTCCATATTATGGAATGTCAGTGTTATATTTCAAATTTCAAACTGAAACACGACCAACGAAGCTTTGTTTTAGGTATACGAGTGGAACAGAGGTATTCATTTAAATTGGTAGTTTAAACTGAAAAGCGAAATGAATAAAAAAAATATGTGCATTAATTTATGACTACGTTGAATAATTATTGAAAACGAAATTATAATTTATGATTTATTTATCAACAGAAAATTATAATACAATGCAAATTTCACATATTGTTATTGTCTGAAGAAGTAGGATATTAATAGCAGAATGTTAATTAGCAAACACATGGTAAACAGTGTTAAATTATTGGGTAACATTGGAGGACATTTGTAAATTACAGGATATAGAAACGGATGATGGTTTCGAGGTACTGTAACACGTATTTGAAATTACTAAAATACTAGTTTTTTCCTGCGGATTTACCCTTATGAATTAGTATATAAATTATCCTATAGTCATGTTAGGATATAACCTATTTATGTAGGGAAATTTAAAATTTATATTCGGTTCAAAGTAAACGTCTATTTAGCACGTTGACTACATAATGAGTGGGTACCATATATACAATCTGAATCGTTACATAGTTATAGAAACAGGAAGAATGTAGACACGTCCATTTGTTGACCTTTCCTCATGCGTTACTATGCATTAAAACGAAGTTTCAATGATTATATCAGAAATTTGTTTGTTTTTAAATACTGCAAATCGAAATACAATACGTCTGTTTTGCTGCTTCACGGTGATCTAGCCTGTTTATGGCTTTGGGAACCAAAAAATATTTGCCGTCCTATAGAAAGTAATAGTAGAGGGGTATAATTATTACATAAAGCGTCAAATGTAAATTATACAATTAATATCAAGGGATGTTAAAGGTGTGTACATCAGTAATTAAAAAAAAAAAACTATATTTATTAAGTATTTTTAAATCTTTTCATATTTGTAGCATACTTTGTATCTACTGTAAGTAATTTCAGTACATTTTCATACAATACTTACATGAAATAAATAAATAATAATAATTAATAAATACATTACATTTCATTTTTAACTTTTATACGCAGAATTTTTTAATAGTACTTATATTTTTTTTTATACCACTGAGGTGGCAAACAAGCATACGGCTCACCTGATGGTAAGCGGTTACCGTATAATATATTTATATATAATAATATTGTAACTAGGCGATGTCTGTACATGGGAGACATTTAAGGAAAATTTTATGGAAGTGTTAATAATATATGTTAAAAGAATAACTTTTAAAAATTGTGTTCGTCTGTTTATATATTTGTTTCGGCATCGCTCAGAAACTACTGCATCAAATTGGATACGATTTTCACAGTTGTATTTTTTTGAAGATGTATATTTTATCTAGATATATTTAATTTATTTATTTAATTTAAATAGGGAAGCATACAATACCTAAAACTTAGTACGTAATCTGCTTTATTGGTTTACTTACTTCTGAAATCTACGCGTACGAAGAAGCAGTCATAAAGCTAGTACTGAATCTCTAAAGAACTTGGGTAGAGATTAAAAAAAATTACATCTCCATATTACTTGTAAATAGACAACTGCACAGTATGTGGCGTATAATTATGAGGGATCAAAAAGTTTTTGCCGTTTTTTAAATTTTCTTTGTTTTTGGGGGAAATGATCAATTTTACTGGTAACATACTTTCTTAAAAGAACGCTAATGATTTTCGTTTTCACTTAGCATGTAAGTACGTCACATACATTTAGAATTTATTCAGAAAATTATATTTTATTTTTCAGGCATATGGTGGCACTGCCGAACAAGACGTCTGAGGGGTACCACGTCCTTCTATACCGGTTATCTGACTTCGACTATAGCAAACTCAACTTCGCGGACGCTGTCCGAGTGTTCTGTATGTTTAACGACATCAAACTGTCCGAGGACCGGTTGTCCGAAGGTTACATCGTCATCTTCGATATGAAAGGCTGCAGCATCGGGCATCTGACCCGCGTAACGCTGCCCGCGTTGAGAGCTTTCATGCAATATATACAGGTTAGTAAATTAAAGTATCAATCGTAAAATGAGTAAAATTTCAAATAACAGTATTCTGCTTGCTGTCTGCCCTTCCCAAATTAATATTTACCTCGTTAAGAACTCTTTTTTTATACCACGAAGGTGGCAAAAAAGCATACAGTCCGTCTGATGGTAAACAGTCATTGAAGCGTATGGACATAGCTTCGGTTTAATAGGATATAGTACTAATGCTATTACGCGTGAGATGATCAAAATATTTTAGACCATCTTATTTATCTATGAAGATTTCTGAGGTGGTTTATTGAACGACAACTTTGCCTTCCAAGGTATGGGGGAAGTATGGAAGAAGGTTGTTAGTAATGGGGATTAGTAGCTAGTAATATACCCTATCAAGTCGACCTCTTTATGGTCCTCTCTGAAAACCATAGTGCTTGATTCCAAGTAAATTTATCAGAATGGGATAACTATTATCCTTCACTGGTGTTCTGTCGGAGTATGCTATTAGCGAGGGAGGTGTTATCTTATTATTGTCATTTATTAAAATAAAAAACCTCTGAGGTACGAATGAAGTGAGGTACATTCTCAAATTATCCAAACATAAATTTAAGAGACAGAGTCAAGCAGCGTCTGACTGAGATGTCCCCGCGCATTAAAAGTATATATTTACTCGTATTAGACGAGAGACTAAATAAAAGTTCTTAAGTAGCTTGTCTGCATACCACTATCCCAGTTATTACTGAAGCAAAGTATCTGTGCAAGGGTACGCTATAAATATATGGTAGTCAAATTACTGGATATCTTAGTTGTCAGGTATAGTATTTACCAGAGGGAGACTTTGTACAAAAGTCGATTGCTTGGGTACCTCTATCCCATTCGTGTTTCTACCGTGAAACAGTTGTGTTTGCATGACTGTGTTTCGGTTTGAAGGGTGGGATATGGCGTGAATTTACTGGGCACAGAGGAATAACACCTGAGTCCTCAGGAATGGCAACGCATGGGGGGTATCATGGGCGAAACAGTATACTCTGTTATGTCCATGGTACCGCTCATGTCTATAGGCGACGGTTACCACTTTCCATCAGGTGGGCCGTCAGCTTGTTTGCCAATCTAAGTAGTATAAAAAAAAAAAATTAATCTATAAGAAGTTTGAGAAAGGGGTAGGAACTGGCATTAGTGTATGTAATAAGTAATTACTTAGAATTAATATATATTCTGTAGTAACATTATTTAGACCATGGTAGTAGTGATAGTGCTTATTAACACACACACACATGTACGCTATACTGTGGTATGAGTATAAGGAGTAAGTTAGTTAACCTATGCCCTAATGCATATATTGTATATCTACTGTAACATATATAAACCTAAGGGCATTAGGTTAATGACAGATATATATATGTATAACAACTATATTACCGTGCAATAAATTGTTGTATATAGTACTTATTAATTCATATCTCAAACTTTAGTATTTTTTTAATGAGTGATAATGGAACGGTAACCCTGCCTGCGTTATCAGTATACGCTGGCGGGGCACCAGTAAGGGATGATAGATGACGATAATAGCAGCCTATCGTGACGAATTCCACAAGAATTAATCACTCTGGTTTCCAAGGGGAACCGCATGGAAGTAGACCTGATAGGGTGTGTATTGCTAGCAATGGGTCAGTTAGACAATTCCTTCCCCCCCGTCCCATACTTTAGTATTATCAGAATGTGAATATTTTCGACCGACTTAAAAAAAGGAGGTTTTTAATTCGGTTGTATTTTTTTTATGTTTGTTACCTTATATTTTCGTTACGTTATCGATTTGTAACATTCTTTTTTAATTTGAAAGGATACACTTACAGTTTGATCTCATAGAACCATGGGCTCAGATGGGTGCAGTGTGCTTGGTGATCTCTATGATGCTGTTCACATAGGTGATAGATACTGCTTTTTATCAGATGCATCGTCAGTATATTTGCTATTTTTAATTGTAGGTTTACAAAGAAGTTATGTCCTTTATCTTATGATTCAAGTATCCTCAGGAATGGCAACGCATGGGGGATATCATGGGCGAAACAGTATACTCTGTTACGTCCATGGTACTGCTCATGTCTATAGGCGACGGTTACCACTTTCCATCAGGTGGGCCGTCAGCTTGTTTGCCATTCTAAGTTTTATAAAAAAAAAAATTTATTACTACAATTAAATATTCTTCTATATATATAAAAAAAAGCTGTTATTTGAATAAAATGTTATGTAATGCTTATTCTCAATCTTGTCTTTCCTGATTAATATTATTTCAGAGCGCGCATCCCTGTCGTCTCAAAAAGATTCATGTGGTACACACAGTTTCCTTCATCAACCAAGTGATGTGCCTCGTGAAACCACTTATCCACTCCAACCTTCTGAACTTACTGAACTTCTCATCAGAAGGACCTGCTTCTGTCGTCGACAAAGAACTACTGCCTGAAGACTACGGCGGTCCCGTAGCTCCCGTGAGACAGCTCCATGAAGAGCAAAGGAAGAATATGGAAGAAAATTATAGGGAGTGGCTTATAGAAACAGAATTGTTCAAAGCGGACGAAAAGAAAAGGATTAAGAAGCCAAGCAAAGGCATGTTCGCAAGCTTCACGAGTAGTTTTAAGAGTCTTGATATCGACTGATCCTTATAGTAACCACATCGCGCTGGGGACCTGATAAAGTAACGAACAACATATAATTTTGTATTTCAATATTAAAATTTCATATAAAAACTAGATACAGAAACAAGTTCAGGTTTTCTCTATAAAGTTTCTTTTACATGCACATTACTTTCTCCCTTGTTTTAAACTTCCATATTTAGTCTCGCACTTTTGTGCAATTAAAAAAAAAAAGAATTTAGATAAAAAAGAATAAGAGGTTCTGTTTTTGTAGATACAAAAACAGAACCTCTTATGGATCAATTAAGGAATTCTTTAAGTAATCAATATTTGGTAATATATGAATTAATTTTTGATTACTGATTGATGGATCTAGTTTTTACAATAATGTTTTATATAATGCATTATACTTTTAGTATTGTAATTTCTTTTTGCTGTGACTCTAGTAAATTTTTGTATAATTTAATTTTAATTATGTTGGCGGGATTACATTCTATGGAGCTTAAAAATATACATATCAGATTTATGAAGATTTTTTTTTAGAATTCAACTGTTAAATATATTACATAGTAATTTTTTTTTTTTATATATTTCAAATGTGCTCACTATTTTATTTTTATAATTCTAGGTATTTTAAGAATAGAAAATAAAGTTATTAGATCGTCATTGAAATCATTAATATCATTCAAACTTTGGCTTTAAGTAGATATAATTTTCTACTTTTTTATTACAGCTACCATTTTTATGACTAGTCGCCTAACATCTGATTGGCTATTATCTATAGAAATAAAGAAAAAAATTATAAAATCTTAGCTCGTATACATATGTCTAAACAGAGTATCGAACGTCAAAACATATGTCATAAAAACCAGCTGTTCGTTGACGCGTCATTTGTTGTTTTTATACTAAGTATTCAAAAATCTTGTAATATTGTCAGGGTACATGATCAATTTGGAGTTTGAAAGTATGATATTAGAAGTTTTTAAGATAAAAGAGACCGAGCGTAACCTAGCTGTGGCTGATTTAACAGCGGGATGAGTAGGCTGGAGCCTGGTGTAGCCGGGTTTAGGGGTGGCAAATTTGGGGTCAAAATTTTTATAATCACGAAGTTACAATTTCATTGATAAAAAGTTGTAACTAATGTAATTATGAATTAGTGTATCGAATTTCAGAGATCGGTGGGGGCGGTAAAATTTGAACAGCCAACTGACGGCAAATGTAAGGCAAATTCGCCATAGAGGTTTAGTGTTTAAAGGATTAAGAGAAGGTAGGTATATGTATACATTTATGTATCGGCGTCACACTACTGTAGTCAATTTAAATGTGATATATGGAACTTTGACATTATATGTAATATTTTTATATTAAATTGTGCATAAAAACTATTTTTCCTAACGACATAGAGCACTATAAATCTGTTTACATAAAGAATTTAAAATTAGTTACCATATATTTTAGTACCTATGTACTTATAAGAGTGTTCATACGTTCATACAAAGTAAGCTAGTAGTAAACAACGTCGGAATTATCTGTGAATATTTTTTGACCATTTAAAAAGTAATCTAAAAGCTTAATAAAACGTAAACAATAGATTGCTATAAAATAGACAATTAAAATAATTACGTGTTGAATTGTTTTTCGAATTTTGACAGATGTTTGCAATGTTGTATTAATAAAATTTCGTAATTAACGCTCTTAGGATCTACGCTTATAATGTTAAAAGTGTGTCTAATAGCTTCATCTAATTTGGTTGTTATACGATGAAACGGCGTAAATATTAAATATTCCATATATTATAGCTCACTTAATTTTCTAATAAGATTAACACGAAGTTGGTAGACGTACATATTGTTTATGCGAAGCCTTTGTTTTTGCGTGGTGCTCTCTCATTTGCCAATTAATGTTTAATAACACAATCTATAGAGTTTTCGAATTTATCATATAGCATGTACATATATAGAAGTTACTATTAGTAGCTATTTTTATATTTAATATTTTTTCATGTTTTATTAGTGGGTACGAATTATTTTGTTTGGGTAAAGTAATTTTCTTGTAAAAAAATAACGTCCTAAAAATTCTGTAAGATGGCTTTGGACTCTATTAAGGTTATTTTTATTTGTTAGTTACGTGTAAAATACTATAAGTATTTTTCTACGATATTTTCATAATAAATGTTTATTCCTATGGATAAGAAAAAAGCCAAATTATAGTACTTGTATATAAAATCATATTGTAAATAGAAAATAAATTTATAGTCAAATACATTTTGTTTTTTTCACCTGTCATCTTACGCCAATATTACTAAATAGGGCACATATGTTTATTTCATGATTAACAGCTCGTATTTAGACTCTTGTTATTATGTATAGTAAAAAATTATAATAAGCTAAAGTAAGTCGCTACCAGAAGCATAAAATTAATAGATTAACAAATAAATTGAGAAATAATTCGAATAGAGATTAAAAACTTTACAGCAAAACTCCTTGCTTCACAAACAGTTTAGTGCAAAAACTTTATAATGCGAATGATAGCATTTTGGTTTTCTGCCTTGCTTTGGACTTTGGACCTACATCGAATCTGTCAGGTTTTTATGATTACAACAGACGGACCTATTTTAAGGCCTCCCTATAAGAAAAGGTAGAACGTTAGCATATTATTACCAAATTAGTCAGGCCACGAGTTAATCATTCCGAGTTCAAGTTTTCTGTCCAGGAAATGAAAAATAGTGGTCATATTCTTTCTTCATAACCATACAGTAAATTAGCTGTTATAAGTTCGAATGTTGTTCCTTCGATGCAGATGATCACCATGGTAGACTTTCAAGTCTACCGTTGTTCTACATTCGTGTTTCTACCGTGAAGCAGTCGTGTTTACATGGTTGTGTTTCGGTTTGAGGGGTGGGATATGACAGTGAATTTACAGGGTACAGAGGAATAACGCCTGAGTCCTGAGGAATGGTAACGCACGGGGGGCGAAACAGTTTACTCTGTTATGTCCGTGATACTGCTCATGTCTATAGGCGACGGTTACCACTTTCCATCAGGTGGGCCCTCAGCATGTTTGCTATTCTAAGTTGAATAAAAAAAAAAATCATTGAAGAAGAAGATTCGGAATTTTAAATTGACATACAAAGTTTTTGGCGTTGGTCAGATTCGAGCTCACTACCTGTATAGTAACACTCAATAATATTTTATTACTAAATCCAGGTTTCTAAACAAATAATGTGGATAAAACTGTACATAGCAAATTTTAATTAGCATAAAATGATTAGTGTAGATAGCTATCAACAAAATAAAACTACTAGGTTTATTATCATTATTAGTCAATAGATAAAGAATATATATTGAATCGGTAGTTACGCCTTGCGACTTCGTTCGCGTGATCGGGGTATATCTATACGTATTTGATCTTGTACAAACGATTCTGTTATTCCATCAAAATTTTTTGTAGAAATATAACTTTCAAAAAGCAAGGAAATAAAAATATATATATAAAAATTTTTTTTTCTTGGAATAAAATTTGTAGGAAATAAACCTTATTAGATAGATAGATAGATAATTTATTTATATTACTTACAGCACACAAATTACAATAAAAAAAAAAAAAACATACACGTAATACACAGCAAAAGAGACAAAAGAATAAAAATAAAAAAAAGCACAAATAAAAAAAAAATACAAAAACAAAATATATAATCTAACAATCTCCTTTGTTACCATTCCTTCATGCGAGTGCCATAGTAACACAAAATGGTCACAGCTCAGTTTATTGCTTTGCCCTTAAAAGAGCAAAACACTGATATTCTGCTGTGGCCAAGAGTCAGTCGCGAAACTATGAATGAAATTTCACATGAACGGACACAAGCAGCATTTTATGATAAGATTATGAAATCGGACAATGGTTTATCAGAGTCAATAAAATCTGATCCAGTATTAATGAAACAGTTTATTTGAATACACAACAACAATATGATATTGCAAAAAATAATAACAAAATGAACTTTTGTTATATTGGAGATTGCTTAAATACTGTAAGAATAATATTTACCAATTTCTTTTGTAGAACTACTAACAGAGAGGTTTCAGATGAGGAAACAGTTGTTAGTGATTGGAGAGCTGAAAGTAAAGTTAATAATCGCATTACAAGATCAGTTTATGTACAAACTGTAGAACATATTAATTCCAACGAGAATCCTATTACTGGTAATGAAAAATCGTGCAGTAACAATACGAAGGAAGTTAATAATGATGAACATAAAGAAACTAATAGTGGTGTTACGAATAATGTGGTGGATTACGTGTTCGTTAAAGTTGGAAGTAAAAAGCCTGAATCTAGTGATATCTCTGAAGATGTAAGTATATTTTATTTTTAATATTACCGATATACGTGTGGTGTGGATTGATAAAAAGTGAATAAAATAACTATTAAAACATATTATTATATTGTATAATAATATTTTTAATAGTGCATGTCTTCATATTATTTTCTCTTTTATAAAAAAAGTACTGACACCAAACATCTTCGTTTTCCCTATGATAAAGTGATTTAGGTGTTATGTTTGCCTTGTTATGAACATAAAGTTAAATAAATAAGTGAATGAAATTGGTAGATAGATATTCTCATTACTAATTATAGTTGAATTATTATTATTAGAGGCATACGTATTCAAAGGATATCTCTGGCAATCCAACGCGGAAATGCCGCAAGTGTCATGGGGACCTTTGGGTCGGGTACGGATCATGAATGGGACTGATCATTAATTTTTTTTGTGATTCTGTGAAATGTATTAGTTTTATGTAAAATAAGAATTATTTTATTTGTATTTTATTAATTAATTGAAACATTATTTTATTTTATAAAGTCTTCCACTGGATTTAACTAAACATTAACACATTCACTTGTATAGAACCATTATCTCGATTATTATTGGATGTATTAATTGAGAATTAGAATAAATTTTGTGCAATGTTTTAGTCAGGGATACTGTTCATATGTGTTGCTGCCAAATGACATACTGTTTTTGTAACAAAAATCTATATTTCAAACATAAGCTTTATTTAAATTTCATTATAGGTATTTTACTGGTTAATCTTTAAAAATTAATTAGTCTAATCGTTGTTAAGAAATCTCTGGAAATTATAAATAAATAATTTATATAATGAGTAAGATTTTTAGAGAGTTGTAGTGAAAGTAACCGAAAAAAATCTATCTAGTTCATTAAGTAGGCAGTAGTAATAACAAAATTTCTTGTATAAAATTACTTTGGTGATAACTTAAAAATAATGCATAATTTTATTAATATTTATTTCAATTACAATAATTAAAGAATGATGTATACTGGAGCCTTTAGGGAATCAGGGAAGTTACAATTAATTACATGAAATCACATCATTGGGAGTTGTAGGATTTGACACTAATTTGGTAGAGTACAAGTTGTAGATTTCCAAGCAAGTAAGTGTCACGTCCAAGTGACTGATTGTTAAATAATTAAGGAGCAGACGAGTAGAGGTTAGGGCGGCAGTGTGACGGCTATGGCGGTGGCGGCGACGGCGGCGACCGTCGGCGGCAGCGGCGGCGGCGGCCTATTGAGAGGCAGCGACGGCACGGCGGCGGCGCGGTTGCGGCGTGACGTCACGGGGCGCCCGCCTCGCGCAAGCGCTCGACTATCGAGCGGCATGTGCCTCTCGCAGCCGGCCGACCGCTACGCCCGACCATTTCACACTTTTTTATTTTCCCTCCGATAGTACCGACCGCTGTCACATCTCGTTTTTCACATAAAAGTTCGCCGAAACTGTGAAAACGCAATCGGAACGGGCGCGCGACACTGGCGGCGGCCGTCGCTCGACACCGCCCAACGCGCCGCGTAGCCAGATCGAAACCAAAATGGCAGGACGAAGCAGGCTCCTGGGCTGTGCGCGAGCTCACATCTGACCGAGCGGTTCTGTTCGCGAATGGCATGTGTCTCGTTATATAAATGTTACGCAAGTTGAGGACGGAGTGCCCACGATTAGGTGCATCTGTTGTTACACGAACTACTAGACGGGGCAGTTGGTGCAGTGTACTATTGAGCCCATGTAACGCGCGTGAGGATATACCGTGAGTACCACTATCTCATTCAATTTGCATTTCTTAGGTAATGTTACTATAAGTACAACATTCAATAGTAAGTGATAAGAATGTCTCAGAAAGACATTGAATCTGTTGAAGCCAGTTTCGCCTTTATCGATCGCCTCGTTATCCGAGCTCGTGAAAATTGTTTATATTTCCTGTTCGAATAAATGGAGCTGTGAAACAGTGGGGTTAATGTGAAAATAACGAGCTGTTTTGTATTCGAATCGTTTTTTTTTTTCTTTTTCGATATTGTCAATCGTCAAAAAATGGCGATAATAGAAGAACATAAAATCTTGTCGGCTAGACGTACTCTCGCACATAGACTTTAGCTTTATTGATCAATCTAGTTCACTTAATATTTTCGGGAGGCTTCTATATTTAATGAACTTAGAATCGTGACCTTTAATTGACAAAGCTTTTAACAATAGCGTTTATGTGGATATATGGACCTACATACTCCACCAAATTTAAAGATCCAATTGATTGTTTCAAATTAAAGATTATCATCAGATATCAGATTCTTATTTTATTTAAATAAATATGCATCTACCGTATTCAATTAGATTGTACATTAAAATAGTATACATGATTACGGACATTAATGTTTCTTGGGAGACTGCTTGAAATTTAAGTCGGCCGAGACAAATAAATGCGGCAATAATTTTAAGAACACACCTTAATGTTCATGTAACAATAATTATATTTTAAAGGTAATGTAATAATGTGTCACCATTCATTTATAAATACCAGGATGTCATAAAAGGCGACTTAAAGGTAAATTGTATTGCACTACACTACACTGGTTTAGGACAAGAGAAAGTCTCGAATTAAACGATACCTGACTAGCGTGGTACATATATAGGCATTAATATATTATTAGGATTAAGCAAGCTGCCTTTGTGGGAGAGACTCATGCGCATCGGTGGGAGGTACAGGTTCTACGATAACTGGAGACCACCAGAGGGAGACTTTATACAAAAATCGTCTGCTTGAGTACCACTGTCCCACTTTTGTTTTTGTTGTGAAGCTAAACAGCTTAGCATAGCTATATTTTGGTTTGAAGGGTGAGATGTGGCAGTTAAAATATACAGTATGGACGTAAAATGTCGTAGTCCTCCGGAATGGCAACACAATGGCAGGGTACCATTAACATCACAGTGATATTGCCGATGCTGCTGCTGCTACTGTGCTGTGCATAGCAATGATTACCACCTTCCATCAAGTGCGCTGTCAGTTTGTTTGCCATTCTAAAACGACGGAAATATTTATGAAGATCTATATAAGGAGTGGTAAATTAGCAATTTATGAAACAAAAGAAGGCGTGTCAGAAACAAAAGAAATGCGCATAATTTGTATCACGATGTGAATGACAACTGACATTTTTGGTAGTCTATAGAAATGTATGAATTGAATGAAAGAGTAGAATGATATTTTTTGAATAGCAGTGAATTTAATAATTAATAATTGAATCCGTAGGTTAGGTTTTTATAATGCTTGTTTCTATGATTTTTATAGTTTGTCACCGCACTATCTATTAGTACAAGGAGATATATTATGCTTTATTCCGATTAAACATTATTTATAACGTAACATATTATAAGTGAAATATTATAGAGATGTTTGCATATTTAGTTACTCAATTATGTTTCAAAGCTTAAATTGAATTTTTAAATATTTTGACACTTCTCGTTTAGGTTTGTTTTACAGTTACCTACAGATAAAATATATTTTAACCTAAAAAATTATATGAATAAGATACTTTATGCGCTGATGCTAATAAAGCCGTGGCTTACAGCTATTTTTATTATAAAAACAAACAAATCTACGTAACAAATACTCAAACTAGGTCAAAGGAATAGGGGCCCAAACAAAATAGAATTGAACAAGTCCAATATCAGAGCACAGCGGTCCGCGCACGTAACGTCAATCTTAATATACCGTAATCCTGTCCGAGACTTAATTTCCATGGCTCCATTATTAAGAAACACACCTGCCGTCGCTATGTTAAACAAATTAAATAACAAAGAAAAACAAAGGAAATCATAAAGCCATTAACAAGTGGATGTATCACAGACATGTTTCTCACTCGACTGTTTCTCGCAACATTTAGACAGTCCGTGGGCGCTTTATTTGTTTTGTACTCTAATCATGTGCAATACTCTCTCAATTAAGACAAATGCAATGACATAAAAAAATTCTACATAGTATAAAACAAAGTCCCTTTCAGCCGTCTGGACGCTTAGATCTTTTTAACTACGTAAAGGATTTTAATGCGATTTTCATCAATAGATAGAGTGATTTAAGAGGAAGGTTCATACGTATAGTTTCATATTGTTTTGTGTTAGTTTGTTGAAATATGACGATAATTGTACAAGATAGTAATAAGTAAGATAGTAAATGTAGTAAGATAGATAATAGGGTAAAGAGGTTTCTTCAGGGTCGGCAACGCACGCATAATATCTCTGGTATTGCAGGTGTTCATAGGCTACGGTAACCATTTACCATCAGGTGGGCCGTATGCTTGTTTGCCACCTCAGTGGTATAAAAAAAAAGATATCGGAAGAAATCTGGTCGACTAAGAGCTTTCATTGAAAATATTGAAATATAACAAAATAATGTATTTCTCTTTACTAGGAGAACAGAAAAGTTAACGTTGGCATTCTACATTATAGAGATAGCTTCCTGTAACTATTTTATAGTTTAAAAAACGTATACAAATGTGGAGTTTGGAAAGCTATTTCGATAGATACAATACTCGTAGTGGTATTATTAATCACTTCACCCTGACACCACAATGTTTCTACGTTGTACTGGTGGGAACCCGAGGCGGGTCTCTAGTTCGTTAAAAACCATTAAACGATGTTTAAATTTACAGGGAGTAAAAATGATACTTATGTTTTCTTAACTTGAGATGCCTAATAAGTTCGACGGGTTAAAAGAAATTAATCGTGCTAGGTATAGCCAATCCGTGTAGTTCGCGTTAATAAATAATATAAATATGTTACAACATTAACTTCACGATACGGGTATTGTAACATGATTTATTTCTTATAACCTGCTGAATTTATTAGACATATTATAATGTAGAGTAGTAACGTAGTATTAATAAGCTATCACAGCTAGCGTAGTGTTTCATGTGAATTGTTTTATAATACGCATTAAACATGGACATATAAGTTTGTACTAGTATATAAATGTATGTAATGATTTATAATTTATGTAAATATTTATTTTAACTACTGTTTAGCACTACTACTGCCCACTCACTACTTCCTATGCCACTGTGTTGACTGGAAGAAATCTCTTTTAGAGATAAGTTCGCCTTTGCTAACATTGTTATTAACTTATTGTTGTTACTGTATGTTTTAGTGCAATAATATATATATATATATATATATATATATATATATATATATATATACTATATATATTTTTTTCAGTAATCCGATATAAAGCAATAAAATTTTCTTTTAATCGAATCTAGTAGGTAAATGCTACTAATTTTGGCAGGTTTTTCAATCAGCTATTAGAGACATTCTTAGATATTTTAAATTAGGTATTCCGATCATAGGTATAAAATGAATCGATTTTGTTTTTTATACGTTTCTAATGTATTAGGTAAATGTGTTTGTTTAAGATTGTAAATAACACCTACTTATAAAAAAAGCATACAGCAAAAATTTATTTGTGTTGATATTAAATGTCGTATTTTATCTTTAAATTATTTTATAGTACAGGTATATAATATACAAAACTAGTAATTCCAACTTTTACTCGTATTAGCAGTTAAATTTCTTGTTAATTTTTTACTGTTTTTTTTTTTTTTATATAGTTCAATGTTTCCACATTAACTGTCAAAAAAAGCCTAAAAACAACTACTGATAGTTTGGCTTGGATGTGGTATTTTTTTTTATTAAATAAAGCGCATTATTTTTCCATGTAAATATATTTAATAACTGTCAATAAATAAACTTTAAGTAAATAATAAGTAATTTGGTTAATCGATTTGATTATAAAAAATTTCTACATTAGGTGGATTCATTATGAATTGAGAACTACTTTTTTCGTGTAATATTAAGTCGTATACAATGTATGTTGACAAATCCATAATAATAGTATATGTATGTTTTGTATACAATATATGGACCATTCTTAATGATTCTGATAAAGAGAAAGAAATACAGTTTTGAAGTTTATTATCAGACAGCGATGAAAGTAAATGGTGAAAATAAATCACGAACATAATGTTGCTTGTTTTCACAAAATAATATATACTCTGTCTACCCCATTCTTTCAAGTATAGACATGAGAATATTAGTAAGTTTAATTAAATACATATTGTATTGATTTAATTTTTTAACTTAGACTTACAATATATATCTCGCATACAATCTAATTCAATTTGAATTTAAGATTCAGTCTAATTCTCTGTTTCTACAATTGAAAATTCAATTTGATATTACAACGAAATAGCTATTCTAATGACTACTAGCATAAAATATTTTTTTAGGAAAAAATGCATCAGAACTACTATATATTTAATTTGCAATATTCGATACCATTATAGTTTTGCTAAGTTATCAGTTAAAATTGTAATTTTGGTGATAAGTTTAAAGAAAAATATCTCAGAATCGATCGCACTCTATCTTGACATATGATCTATAGATACTTTCGGTAGAGACGATACAACGAAGAACAGTTTTTCCATCATAATACATTTTGTAACTATAATAAACTTGATTAAACGGTGAACTCTAATGATGTCTCAAGGGAACAGGCGGAATCGAGAGGGCGTGGTCCTGCTTTTGGCATCTAACAGCAGCTTCCCTTATTTGTGGGCAAGATTTTTTGCCAATGAAGAATAATTTGTAAGGCTTCGCAATGAACGGCGTTTGGGGAATGGAAATTGGTCGCGGATATTTTATGGCGATGCCCTAGTCTCTTTCCTACAGTAACAGTAATGCTTGCTCGATCTTTTTACGTTA